TAATGTTTATAATGATGTATATATTTAATTAATCATAGCGTTTATTAAATTGAGCATGCATTTATGTATCTTTCATGTATGTATATGCATGTGTTTATCATAAAGATGCACGAAATTATATGGATGCCCATAACAATATCAATGACACTTTTACAAATTGAATACATTCGGATATGATATTTTAGTGTATAATACATTTTTATAAAAATATAACATAGACATAATATCTTTATATACACAAACCTTACTTGATGGATCAAAATACATGGCTTGAGAGGGAGAGACGTTGAGAGCTGTGTACATGCATTGTTTCATAGCTATATGATTATGTATATGCATGTGTTTATCAGGAAGTAAATTTTAATGAATATGAATATATATTTTCAAAAAAAAAAAAGGATCTATATGAATATGCTTGCATGCTAATCAATGTCTATTACATGCTAGGTTAATCAGATTGATAATTATTTAAATGAGTCATAAAGTAAAATTTAATGTTTATAACAATGTATATATATTTAATTAATCATAGTATTTATTAAATTGAGCATGCATTTTATGTATCTTCATGTATGTATATGCATGTGTTTATCATGAAGATGCACAAAATTATATGGATGCCCATAACAATATCAATGACACTTTAACAAATTGAAGACATTCGGATATGATATTTTAGTGTATATAGTATATTTTTATAAAAATATAACATAAACAGAATATCTTTATACACAAACCTTACTTGATGGATCAAAATACATGGCTTGAGAGGGAGATACGTTGAGAGTTGTGTACATGCATTGTTTTAGAGTTGTGTACATGCATTGTTTCATACAAGTATTAAGCCTTCTAAAGTTGCAAACTTTTTAAAAATATACATATGTGTAGCATAATTTAATTTTCTATGTAGGCAAAGAGACTCATAAATGCTACAAATATTAGAAACTCAAAGTTGTGAAGAGCACTAAAGAAAATTATGTGAAAACTTCAATGCTTATAATTTTTCTGTAAAAACTTCGGTTGTTGTAGTTTTTCTGTAGAAACTTTAATGGATGTAGTTTTCTATTCAAGGTTATCTCGGATATAACATCTCAATTAAGTGAAACCCTATAAATAGGACCATGATTGTAGTTTTTTATTTAGAAAAATATTGTGAAATGAAACTTTATAATTTGGATTGAAAGAAGATATATTACCGATGACAAAGATGTAAAGAGGTATGAGAACGGAAACTCAGGGTCACGTGAAAATCATCCCTAAGAAACTTTTAATTCATTACGATCGTATATGAAATAAAAGCTATTGTAATAGTGTAGTTTTAAAAAAGTTAAAAGTCTATCAACAGGATATATTTTGCTTACCCTAATTGCTTCATCACTATTCTGGAACTTAATAAAACAATATTGCTCCATAACTTGTAAAGATTGTTAAGACGTTGGACCATTCAAATTACAGGAACACACACTAAGATGACTCTTGTATGCCAACCTCTCAACCAAACAAACCATTACAATTACAAAAACAATATTTCATGCATCTTCCTCGACCCTGAATATCTGGATCCTTTGTGGAATTGGTCGGAGATATCCATATATGTCAATGGACACTTCACCGATCACACGTTCAGTTCCTTCACAGATTGCGTGCACTTACTTGCAAAAAAGCCTCCATCTTCGCCTGTGGCAAAAACTTGCATTCCCTCAGGTACTTGGTGATCTAGCGGTCGAATTCCGAGTAGGATGACATTTGGATAAAGAAACACGACCTCCGAGCAAGATGGATTTATTTGTGTTTCAATTCAATTGGGATGGCTTGTTAGGAGAGTAGAGTGAGGATATATATAGGGATTTGGATTTTGTCCACCGTAGTGAATACTAATCATAATTTATAGAAAATATAATAGGAAGATGGGTAGTCATATTATTTGAAGAGGTTGAGAGTTACGGGAGGTTTAAAAGGCTTTATTATGTGATAGGAAAGAGTTTAATCATATGGAAGATGAATAGGCAAAGCTTTAAAATTGTTATTTAAATTATAGAGTACTACATCATTTTTTAATTAATAGTAAATAGTTTATTATGTGATAGAGCTTTACATCTTCTGATTTGTGAGTAACGAAAACATAAATGTACCTTTGTTAAGTTAATGAAATGAAAGATGATGATAACTTTGTTATATTTATAATAATTAAAGGGTAATTTAGGGTAGGAAAAGTTTTTCTAGTACTCCCTTTTTTAGAGGATAGATGATAGATGATAGATGATAAGCAAAAGGATGAGAAAAGACCCTGATGAGTAGTAAAACCAGCACAACTTTGCCAACTCGTCAAATTAAGTTGTTTTTAAGCAAAATTAATAAAGAAAATAACCATCCATTTATCCCACTTAACCACCCCTTTGTCTCATGAACTGTAGTGGGAACTAATTCCTTATATCTCAAGCACTTTAATTCTTTATATTTCGCCCCCTTCCTCATCATTGATGTCGACCTTAATCACTCTGCCAATGACAATTCCTTTCCTCATCTGGCAAGTGGGAAGAGTTCTATTTTCACAACGCTCACTGGGTTTTGGAGCCTGGTCTTAATTTTAATATCACAATGACCAAACTATTGACCTAAATCACCCCCACTCCCTCTACTACTCCGTCGTCCACAGCCTGTTCTCAACAACGTCTATAGCAACTCATTCGCCATTGAATCTGCGGTCTCTGAAATGAAATATGCCGCTTCCACTAGCCATGACCACGCTTAATCTGGCCTAGGGTTTCTCTATGTTAAATCTTTGAACTTGCCTCAACACCGTGGCCCCCTTTTCTCCAAGTTAGCTCCTTAAAATATATTTTTTGCATTTTGTTTGTATAGTTTTTTATTAATTTTTTTAATATTATTAGAAACTCAATTGTTTTGTAATTGATCCATGTCTGTTTATAACTTGAAGAAAATTATCTCTTTTTTCGTTTTTGGTGTTGTAGTCGGTCTTGATCAAAGCCTACTCTAGAGTTAGGACGGTATGTGAATCTTTTGTCTCATCATCTTGCATTTTCTAAGTGAACAAGAGCCAATCCAAATTGATCTTATAATAGATCTGCTACAGAACGGATACATTTATTTTTCAAGTGATTCATATCGTCAAGTGTACCCATTCCAAATTTCATTCCGATCAAATGATCCGCAGCAGCCAATAGATCTCGTGGTAACAAAAATATATTATTTGGAGGTATATCAAGATTCAGTCTCCGGTTCATATTTCGTCGACCAAATGCTTTTTTTTAAACTAATCTATTAGTTTGATTTTAATTTTACGTTATGTTCTTTTTTAAGGGTTTGAACCTAAAATAAGAATATGTTTTATCTTCATTTTGCTTGGGGAGTTAATCATTTGTTTTCTTGCTCAAGTAAATAAATTATATATATTTGGATTAGTTTGTTTTAATTTTTTATTTAAAGTTTGTGTATGAATTTGTTTATTTGAAATTTTATAGCAGTTTGAAAATTTTTGTTTATTTAAGATTCTACAGCAGCAAGCATGCAGATGAAGAAAAACGAGATGGAGTTTCTAACTCTAAATTCTCATGGCGATTGTCTTCATTTGCTATGAAGATATTGCTACATTATTGAGATTAATCTTTCGAGAAGTTTGCGATATTTTTACTTTGTCTATTGCGGTTTGTATTTGTAGAAAATATTAATTCATCAATGAGCAAGATTAGAAGTGTTGGAATTTTTCATATTGAATTTATTTAGAATTCAATTGGAATTGTTAAACTTGTGAAGTTAACCCCAATTATTGACAGTGTTTATTAAAGTTCATGTAGTAACATTGGTATTTTCAAGCTAGAAGCTTTGATTATAGGAAAATTATAGTAAATATAAAGTTATCTTTTTTTTCATAGTACAAACTTAACTTTTGAAATACTATTATGTGCACAACCCAACAATAATTATATTCATAAAAAATTATATTCATTGTATTTTGCAGCCATGCTTTGTGCGGGATCATAGACTAATTATAGGAATGTCTATCTAGTCCAAGGGTCCAAGGAGAGTGGATGAATATCCAAAAAAATGATCTACATACCATATATACAAATTATATCTTATCCAAAAAATGATCTACATACCATTTATACAAATTATATCTCCTTTGTTTTGTATAACCTTTTACGAATGAAGAAGTATGAAGATTGTGAGATTCAAACACACGAAAAAGATTATGTGTCTCGCATTTAACTTTTCATAAATAAAAGACATTAATAAAATGTTTGTACACTTTTTCTTTCTTTTCATAAAGAAAATTTCGAATTTATTGCATGCTAAAAGACAATTATATATCTAAAATTTACAGTACCCTATGAAACATGTTTGCTATATCCACTTTCAAACAGTAATTTTGAGAGTTGGATTGCCGAAAATGCCCTTTTGATGTTAAGGATGTTTCTGGAATGGACTTGGTCTGTTTTGGTTTGGGAGAATGGCAATTTAGTCCTCACAACCCCAAAGTTACTGTTTGAGAGTGTGAATAGTTGGACCCCTGTGAAACCGACATCTCAACTCCTCTCAATTCTCAAGCTCCAACCAACCTCTCGATGCTCTCATACTCAAGAGTCAAGACTTCTGTTCTCAGAAAGCTCACTCGTTAGCCGCTTTGCACATACGCGGAGCATAACAACTGATCCAGGTAAAACTGGGCCCCACTTCCTCTCTGACCCACTCCCCAATAAGACCCCGCCAGCTGTCGTCCGCTTCTCTCGCCGCGTCGTACCGATCACAAACCCTAGCGGTCCGCAGACCATCAGACAACCCCAACGACCCCCAATCTCTCTCTCTCTCTCCCTCTCATCTTTCGCGCGTCCCCTTTCCTAAAATTTTCAATCCCTTTATTTTCTTCGATCCCAATTCTAGAAATCTCCCACTTCAAGCGGTAACCTGACCGCATGGGCTCCGCGGAGGAGACTGCCTCTCCTGCAAAACCTCCACCA